AAGAGAACGCCGTCCTCAGATCTCCTTCTCAATCCAAATTACTCAGCCGACTGTTCCGTAGGCATTGTACCTTAAACAACCATTCAATTGCTTCCTTGCGTTCCACAGACAGTGGCCCCATCATTGATCCTGTCAAAATGGCAGGCAATCACATCGCTTACTTCACCAGCTGCTACTCACCCTTTACTCCTAACTCCAAACCCATAACAACTGCTGTTTACCTCCAAAGTGTGAACGGTCATGGTAACCACCTGACTCTCAGTAACGTAACCATCTCCCTAGCCGATGTTTCTTCCCTTCTTCTAAAGATTAAGGACTCTGTTATGCCACGGGCCGACGGCGTTCCACCCCGCATCCTGAAACAAGCCGGCCAAGATATCGGAATCCTTGTATTAAATCTTTTCACCCACTCTATAAACTATAGAGTCTTCCTCTCCCGGCGGAAGAGATCTACAACACACCCGCATTTTAAATCAGGATGTAGACAAACTCCTCCCAACTACAGGGAAATCCACCACACCTCCCTCCTACTGAGAACCCTTGAACGTCTGATCAAAGGCCCGTTAATCAGGTTTCTTCTAGCTACGAACGCCATAGATGACCGACAGTACGGATTCCTATCTCAAAAATCCGCAAATGGCAGCCAGCTTCACTACGTTGAGATCCTCACAGCAGCCTACGACGCTGGACACGCCATAGTAACAGTCTATCTCGACATCCAAAAAGCCTTTGACCAGGAACCCACGCCTCCCTGCTACACAAACTTAGTACCGTGGGCATCAATGGAACCTTATTTCAGTGGTTCGCCTCCTACTTAACAGACAGGAGGCAAATAACGCAAATCGGGGACATACAATCATCTCCACTACCAATCACTAGCGGAGTCATCCAAGGAAGCGCGCTAGGCCCCATCCTTTTCTTACTATACATCAATGACGTCTTCGGCGCCATATCCCACGGTAAGGCCTTCCTCTTCGCGGACGATATAAAAATCGCGTACACATTCCCCACCTCTGCAAAAACCCTTGCCTTTCACCAGATTAAGCAAGACCTAGATTCACTGACTCGCTGGTCAAACAACTCTGGCCTTAGCTTCTCCTCCACAAAATCCTGTATAACTTCCTGCCGCTGCTCTCTCCCGACTGATGCTTTCACAATTAATGGAAATCCTATTACTCATTTTACAGAGATCAAAGATCTCGGCCTCAGATACTCCTGTACTTTTAGCTTTTCCCGCCAGATGCAATTTCATGCTGCAAGAGCGCGTAGGCTCAGTTCTTTAATACTGCGCTCCTGCCACCTTTCAGACACAATGGTAGCAATCTTTAAGCTATGCGTACGACCAATCGTCGAATTCTGCCCCGCATTCTCCTCCCTTTACACCCAAAGGTGCAGACCCGCAATTGAAAGCGTCCAACGCTCATTTACGTTAAAGCTCTTTCCCCTATCGAACCTCCACTCTTACCGCTCCCGCTGTCAAACACTAGGCCCAGAACCACTGTGGCTTAGACGGTCGAAACTGAATCTAGCTCTCTTACACCGTCTGCTGCATAAGAACGCTTTTATAGCAGGGGTTAGATCAAGTATAAACCCACAACCTCGCTCTAGACTCCGTAACCCCTGCAACCTTTTAGTATGTCCCCAAACTCGTACAAACCTACGCCACTACTTCTTTCTAGTTTATTACGCTCGCATCTGGAACAGCCTTTTTGAACAGCTGCGAAGCACCACGCATCACCTTACTTTTTCTCAGTCTGTAGACAAATTCCTTACCTGTGAAACCACTGCCGCCCTACTTAATACTCGAATTCCCTCTGACCTCCTCTACGAATCAGGTCCAGTGCGCATTTGAGTTTAGCGA